GAAGAGCATGCACAGTGGATAGTTATAGTACATAATATAGGTGCATAGCATAGCAATGCACTCGATGGTACAGGATCTAGTCAGTAGCAAATATTTTTATGCTTTATCTCCCAAAGAGCACTCCTACTATTATTACTCTATGTATTATATAGTTCCTCGAGACTGCAAGGATTGGTACAATAATGGTAGCACTACTAGTGGTGTTTATACTGTTAATCCTGATGGAGGGACTCCATTTGAAGTTAGTTAAAAGTAATTTATAATTATACACTATTGGATCACAGGTATACTGTGACATGGAGACTGATGGTGGTGGATGGACTGTATTTCAGAGGAGACAAGATGGATCTGTTGATTTCTATAGGAACTGGACTGACTATGAGAATGGATTTGGTGACCTTACTGGTGAGTTTTGGTTAGGATTGAGCAAGATTCATCGTCTTACTAAAGAAGGATCAAACACACTAAGAGTGGACCTGGGAGACTTTGAGGGGAACACAAGTTATGCTAACTACTCTACATTTAATGTTAGTGATGGTAGTACTGAATATATACTAACAGTAGGAGGATACTCTGGTACTGCTGGGGATAGTCTGGACTATTATCATAATGGAAGGAGATTCACTACAAGAGATAATGATAATGATAGGTCAAGCGGTAACTGTGCTGAGTTGAGCACTGGTGCCTGGTGGTATGATATCTGCTTTGCTTCAAATCTTAATGGTCTTTATATTAATACTGCAACTATTAGTCATAAAGGAGTTGTTTGGGTTTTTTGGAAAAATGCATACACTACTCTCAAGTTCACAGAGATGAAACTCGTCGTAACAATTAAATACTGTCCCCCACACACATAAGTGTATTTACATTGTGCTGATATATTATTATGTCATTTCAATATTACAGTCTGTCATACCTTGTAGTGATTATTAATAATTATTAACTATTGACATTTATTAATTATTAATCCCAACATAATGGCAACATGATGTCAAGCGTCACATTTTAAATTGCCTCAAGATATCATTCTCTAGTTAATTACATGTAATTTTGGTGATTGGCAAATTTTAATTTAGCAAATTTGTGGCCACGTGCCATTGAGTATGCGTATAATGGCTCAAAATGGTGAAATTTTATTTTGGCGAATGGCTATCAAAACGACAAACTCACCAAACTTAATTCCCTCCAAAGTTTCCCACTATACAGTATAAGATAAACACTTGCACGTATGATGTAATATGCTACATGATAATATGTACAGGTCCACTTTTTATTACATTTTAGTCACCAACGCTACTAAACACTTTAATTTAGTGCTTTAAAGATCCTTCACTAAAATCACTGAAACCAGTATAGACAAAGTAATGACTACAGAACTTAAAGTACTGCTGTACTTAAGCAACAAAAAGATCATCAGCATAAAAGAATAAAAGTACATGTATACATTCATTCTACTAACCTGGACTTTGTCTAATGATCTATCTGCAGTTTCCTGATATACCTTATTGCCTGTCAACTGGGAAAGGTCACGAAACTCAAGCTGTATTGAAGTGACCTCAGAGACAGAACTATCAGGACCCCATTTCGGAGCGTGAGCCTTCAAAGTATAAAGATTGACGTCAGAGTAAGGAATGTGGGAAGAAGTAGCAAAAGCATGCAATAACCTGTCACCAAGATCAGTCTGGAAAAGAAAAATGGAGAAAAATTACTTTTAAAAGTGTTATGAAATGGAGGGAGAGATGAGGAAAACTCACAGCTTTTTCTAAAAACATGTGATCTTTTGTCAAATGATATGCACTCAGCAATCCTCCCAAAACCCTTATCGTAGTCTCAAACAGATTCACGTCCTTGTTCTGAGCGACGACCATTTCATTCTCTACCCAATCCCGAGCTTCCTTAAACTCTTCATTCAGACCCATTAACCACATTGTATCAAGAGAATCCACTAGCGTAAGACCGAGATTAACCAGGTCGAACTCATACGTGAAACT